GAGAATGTCATAACACACTTCACAACGTGCAAATCATCGTTGTAATAGTTTTAAAAACACGCCTGGATATCTACCTACCCATAGCTTGTTTACCCATAGCACACTGGTACGTGTTCCTGGGTGATTGGTTATGGTGTGGATAGGGTATCAATCCAGCACAGACGCCTAATAACGTAAACGGCTCTATCTCAAGGTGGGTTGTCTGCCTTAAAACACATAAAAACATTAGCAAGTCAGATGGCAGACACAAACAGTCAGACAGACAGACAAAGATAGAAACAGAAAAACTGTGCAATACACTTCCACCTCTTTGAACATTGGAAAGGCGCTATATATAGTATATTATTATTAGTAGTAGTAGTAGTAGTAGTAGTAGTAGTACACGGCGAAACAAGCTGGCATACTTTGTGACGTGTTTCTCGTCTAAAGCAACTTCACTGTCGTTTTCCTCATTGACGTCTAGATACTCGACAAGACCTTCGTGCAGGAAATCATCGAAACTCCTGAAGATAATAATACAATATTACATTAGCTACATGTACATACAGTATAATGCAGTGAAACAACAACATATCATAGTCAAGGTAAAAACGAAAACAAATTCGATTACATGACTTAATGTGGAATAAGTACGATGTAATGGCTATAGTTTTTATAGTTTTTTTTTACCAGTCCAGGTATGGGATTGAAATCAATGCTACGATAGTGTAAATTGTTTGATAGTTGTCGATGGGCCTCTTGTGTGTACATGTCAACAGGCCWCAAAACGAGAGAGCCACCCTTGTCCGCTGGTTTTATAACAGTATCCGGTAGTTTAGAGAGATTTTTGATAGCCTCCTTTTCCTCCCTGGAAGTATTGGATTTGTATGTAATGTTGTTGGTAGTGGGGTGGTCCGTAATACAGTTATGTATTTCCTCCCAAACGGAATTGCAATACATAACTAAATTACGGTTGTGTGGAGTGGGTGGGTTCCAATTACTGGGATTTTTGAAGGTAGGAGGCCTGTGAGGTTTGTCTTTAAAGTAATATTTGAGGTAAAGAGATCTTTTAAAACGGTTGAAAGAATTCAGGAGACTTGTGGGAGTGGGTGGTTTGGATGTGGGGACAAATTTAAGTCCCTTCTGGAGAACTTTTGACTGTGTTTTAGTAAGGCGGTGATTGGTGAGGTTGACAACTGCCTTATGGTGTGTTTGTTCAGTGATATGTCGGAGGAACCGTTTTTTACGTTGATTTCTCTTGGCACGCGGCTTCCTCCAACCACTAGAGGCATTTGTCAACCTGGCAGTGTGTAAGAGGGAAATAGGCAGGGATGCGGACAAAGGTGGCTCTACAAGTTTCCCGGCCTGTGACATGGTGTTGCCGCAGTCCCCATTGGGTGGTGTAGATTATGGGCCGGTCGTGCGGTGTTTCTCCTGTTCTGATGTGGTATGGTCATGTGATGTGGTCCAGTGTGGGTCCTGTACATGTGTGGTGGAGTCGGTAGTAGACCTTGCTGAGGTATGGTTTTAGGTCCTGTGGTCTGTTTCGTCCTGGTCTGCGGTGTAACGTATGGTGTAGTCTGTTTATACTCGTGCGTTTTGGTCTGTGGCCTGTGCGTTGTGTTATGTTTATTGTTATATGGTACAGTCTGTTTAGTGTTGTTCGATGCAGTCTGTTTTGTCTTGTAGGGTGCAGTCTGTATTGTGTTGTTCTGTACAGTTTGTTTCGTGATGTTCGGTATAGTCTGTTTTGTGTTGTTTGGTACAGTTGGCTTTGTGTTTTCCGGTTTGGTCTGTTTTGTGGTGTTTTGTACTTTGTATATGTGGTGTTTTTGGATGAAGGAAAAATTAAAGTTTTTTCGATGTAGTGTGCGGATTTTCCAAAATCGACTTACATACAATGATCAGCCAAAAGTCTGGCAAGAAAAAATAAGGGAGCATTTCACGAGTTTTGCTTTTAGCTAGCTAGATAACAGACAATACAGAAAGATACATACCTAAAGCCTTGATTCAGTTCTTTGATATGTCTCTCTTCTACTCTTGGTCGACCATTTTCGACTATTATATATGGCCTAGTATGAGGATTTCAGTAAATAAACTGCCATTTATATGTTGTCATCTTAATCATCAGGACTGTCCTAATCATCATAATCATCATCATCATCATCATCATCATCATCATCATCATCATTATCACCATCATCATCATCATCATCATCATCATTACTAATCCTCAAAAGAAAAACTGTATAACTGTGTACAGACCTTAGTTCATAGTGATTAGAAATAGTTTATGTTGTCATACGGCTCGTAACGATACATTTGACTACCTTACAACACCATTAAGATAAGTGTGCTGTCTTTGAAACTAACCTGCACACACGACCACCATCAGCGGCAATGTTCACCGACCTAACGAAAAAAACAAAGATTATTAAACTGAATACATGGATATCGTGCAGCGTGCTATAATACAAGCAATACACAACAATTTCTTTTGGATTTTAACACTTTTCTAACCTCAGCTTGTGATTAGGACAAATTGATACAAATTCGTTGACATATCCAGCTGAAATTGATACACAGTCTTAAAACATGACATCAGGCATGACCAAGCATTGTGCAGCACGATACAATTTAAATGAGTAATAGGAAAGACACATCAAGATTTTTGTACCTCTTCGCATGAGCTTGAAAGTCCTGACAAGTCGTTTGTAGTCTTGAATAACACCAAGGAATAAACCTTACAACATATAGAATATGGCTTAAATTAACTGCTATTTATTGCTGAAAACAAAAACGAAACAAAACCAACGGCCACTTGAAAGTCAAACCAAGAAAAAAAAACATAAGGCTGTTGAGACTTGTCTTTTGGGTTTCCTGTCCCTCTACAGGGATCCCAAACAGGTAGACTAACCATTAAGAAATACAAGATAAACTGATGGGCGGCTTGTTTCCTCTCCTGACAACAGATTGACATCCTTTGCAAACAAAAAAACAATAACAAAAAATCATTAGAACAAAATAGTTGGAGGCATTTGAAAGGAGGTGGGATGGGGTAGGCCCTTCCCCTCCCTAGCCACCTCTACTCCGAGATTGTAAGCCAGTCTGATGATAGGTTCTTCTTCCTGGTCTGTAGTGATGTGTGTCATCAAAGCCAGATTCTTGACAAGACCACAAGCCTAAAAACATGGTATTATAATAGTTTTTGAATGTTTTATCTACAAGTAGCAAATTCATATTTAATCATTTGATGACTTGTTCCAGCCTTTCCAATCAGCCTCTCTTCAAGTGCTTGATATGTTTTTCTCAGCTTTGTTCATTCTTTCATTTTTTGTTCATTTTTTCACTAAATTTGATTCAATCCACTTACCTCTCCTTCAGGGGTGTCAGAAGGACACAACATTCCCCACTGGGAGGGCTGAAGAGATCTTGGTCCACTTACTTTACGAGTTTTCTCAAACTAAAAATATAACAGACAATGCTATTCAATGAGGAATCATTCCTATGAGAAAATACTCCATAGACATTTATTTGCCCCTAACAAGCAAGATGTTGGTACTTCAATTGTGTGAACAGTTAAAGTTTAAAAATGCATTTAACTGACCTGACTTGTAATTCTTGTCATCATGCCAAGTGCAGAAATAAAAGAGAGTCGCGAAAGAACCTGCGATGAAGAAAATGTTTTTAGTGTCAGAACATTTAATGAAAATCAGTTTATTTTTGTGCAACTGTTATTTCCATCATGGCTATCATCATCAGCCATCACTGTTAGTAGTATTTATCAATGAAATGTTTCTACGGTAACCTGTGTTACTCCAGCTCTGTTCATGTTGAATCTTTTGATGACCCAGTTGCCCTGGAAACAATAAAAACATTTGTTACTTTGATCTTGCACAATACAAGTAGTGTACAATTCAAAAAGATTATTGCTCAGTAACTTGATCATAATCAAATCAAAGCATAATCAAGAGTCATTTTTTTTACAATTTTACATCTCTTACCGATGAAATGGCATGGCAAAGTCCATTTGTAATCAAATCCTGCCTCATATGCTTTACAATGTCAAACTAAAAGATTTGCAGAATGTGAAGAAGCATTTTTATCAATGAAATAACAGTAATCTATATTGTTACATTTTAAAAATAGCATATGTCATSTTTGTCAAAAAATTGGCTTTTCTCACCTGGGCTGCACGAGGACGAGGAATTGTTTGATCAGCAATCTTTTTGAGCTGGAAAATAAAATGTCATGTGACWTGAAAATATTTGCAGGATATTGAAAAACTTACAAAACTTTCTTATTTTTAGACTTGAAGGTCTAGGCAGGATTGAATAACAAGAAAATTGTATTGTATTAACTTACCTCATGACAGAATCGCTTAAAAAGATCTTCAAAAAGAAGTGACAAGAGCTAGAAAAGTGAGAATTGG